CAGAGGAATACAAGAAACTTGCCGAGCGGTGTTGTGATGCTGATCCTGATAAGCGTCCAGATGCAGAGACACTTTGGAAAGATATTTTCAACCTTGTTATGGAGGTTGGCAAGGACAATTCTGATTACAACACGTGGAAGGACGTCTATTATAATTATTTAAAACCCTTATCACGTCTTGAGAAGGAGAATAAATATTCTAGTAAGCGCCTACCTACTGGAGATTTGCCTAAACCGAGGAACAGTTATGATTCAGTTGCAGGTAACTGTTTACATGTTGATATTGAAATAATATTATTTTGCTATACTAACGTCGTCGTCTATTATCCTATCACTTAGTGACTCAAAATTTTGAATAAATTATAGTGTTTTCAATAAGAAATGTATAACAAAAATGTTCATGGCATATCGTTATACAGAGACACCTCTATAAGTTCACGCTCTCGGAATAGAAAACCAGAAAACTGTTACACACAATAGTGACTAGTACTTTCTCTTTATTATCTTATTATCAAAATTATGCCATCACATCGAAATCAGACTACACGTTAAGAAATATGTGTCAATGTTAGTTTGAGCTTGTTTTCCTGACTTCAACAAACTTCTCAATAATTTGTAAAAAGGTGATATATTTTTCCGCATTGTCCTGTTGTAAAAGAAAGGCACGTACTATTTCCAAGCTAGCGATTGCTGTGCTAGCGCTAATAACAGGACTTTCCTCACTATCATCTATGTCGTCTACATCCGTAATTGCTTGATCAGTATCCTTAAAGAGATATACAAGTTCGTGGTCGTTGTCGGGACTTCAGCAACTATTTCTGTATTTACGACAATTATTTATCGTTATTGTATTATTGTGGCGTTTATGTCATCTCCGCTTAATTTGGAAAATGTGATTAAAATTTAGTAAATATGTCGATGTATTTACAGTTTTGTAAGCACGAGTATATTTACACTAATAAGTAAACTAATGTCACTATTTGCATTGAAATCACGGCGATTAATTGGCTGACCTTTTTTAAATGTCACGTGCGTGCAATTATGGATTATATCTGGGACTTTGCACGTGTAGAACAGCACTTATGGAGGGTGCGCTTATGGAGGTGTCTCTGTACACTGTTTTTACTTGTCCTACATAAATTCGGTAATGGCATTTATTCGATTATTGGTTGCTGCCAAGTTTTTATTGATACCTTCATAGTAGCTCTTCGTTTACAGACATTGTTGTTTTTCAGGTGATATTTACTATATAGACTATATTTATATGGTTTCTACTTGTAATACACGTGATCATTTATGACGTAGAGTACGTAAAGACATCTAATTCATTTTTCATATCCTTTAGTCTATTGATAGTTTTCTCACACGTGCTACGCCTTTCTGCCATAACTGGATCTTCTTCAACGAGTTCTTTTAGTTCTATGCGTCTACCCGTGTGTTCAATATCGTCAACAAAAATGTCACTAGTCATAGAATTCTGCCAATTTTCCGAAAACCCAAAAATATACTTGTTGGTTATTGCCATGCATACGTAATCCGTATATCTTCTTAGAGATAGTTCATAATAAGCCTTTACATCGGCCACCACGGTTGCAGCTTCCGTATCATTAGGCACAAGTTTGACCAACTCGGTCTGATACTTGTTCTTCATATCTGCAACTCGATTATCGCTAGTGCATGATCTCCTAAGTTCAAGATCAGAAAATGACTCGATCAGTTCTTCGCAGTTCTCTTTACGAGACTCGAGCCGCTGCTTTGCACGCCCCTCCAAGAAAAAACGAAGTTTCTTGTACTGTTTTGCTGAATCGCGGATAATCTGTTCAATCTCCCCCCACATGATATCAAACATATTTTTGAGACATTGCGTCGAATGTTTTTTCCAGTGACGTTGATACGCTCTGATTATGGAATCCGATACTTCATGGGGGACTCTACCGGGAAGTAGACAACCTCTCGCTTGGTTAATAATATCTTTAATATTCTTTGATTCCTCGATAAATGTCTTATCTTTTGGCGAATATCCATTTGCCTAGTTTCGTAATCAAACAATTTTATTAGTCACCAAAATGCTATATGGTTGAACTTGAATAAAACGAAAAATAAAAACTGCTTACAATTTTCATGGTGGTTACGCTGATTGAATAAAACGGCCCACTATTATGGCCTAATGTGGGAATATTTTGCAAAACATCGACAAGGAGCGTTCTTGCCGTCAACGACACTAGCACAAACGCCGGCCTTTCGTTTTCTATTGCCGTCTTGTACTCCTTCAGCTGGTTCCTAATTTTCTCCCACATAGTATCATTTTTATCATTCAAATCGGTTCCTCCGCTACGTTCAAGCTTGTGACGAATTTTATCTTCACACATTTTTGTCACTCTGTTAATTTCTATTTGTGCATTGACGGGCGGTTGAGGTAATTCTTTCAATTTACCAACCGCCTAACAAAAAAAAAACAAACAAACGTAGACCGTCTTAGTAAACGACCAACAAAAACAAGCGGTTATATCAACCATCTATAATATTATTCTCTTACATCTTTCAATTTGTCACTTATATCGTCCATAAGTTTAGGAATATTTTCTCTAATTTTTCCTATGAGTAAATTTTCTAGCCTTGCTCTCAGTCTTTTTACTCCGAGTCTGTCTTTATAGATGGACGAGCACCATGGCTGAGTGTTTTCAAACCACTATGATAAAAACACCATATTAATAAAAGTCGTCAAACGTTTATTTCCCACTGACACTGGTTTGCTTACCTGTTCTTCTTCCTCTCTAGCCTGGGTAAACGTCACTCCATGGATTAATTTTGCCTGATTCGGATTCATAACTACGAAATAATCTGGTCCTGATAAATTTTCAAGCTTCCGTATCCATCGTTCATGCGTTTCTTCTTCAATGCGGTCTGGTTTGGTTAGGACAAATACCGTACGACTTTTCTCCGGATCGACCTCGTTTATTATGTTATGAATGCCTTGATGCTCATCCTCGGAATCGCAAGGAATGGTAGCGACAATTATAGATTTGGGTTTTTTCACATATTCCGTAGTGAGGTCTTTTATCGTAGCAACAAGTTTCCGTGAAACGTCTTGTGGTACGTTTATCATGCATTCTATTTAACAGTAGATAAATTAGAACTTTTACTTCAATTCTCAGTACATAATTCACGCTCGGCGTAACTTACCGATAATTCCAGGCAAATCGACCAAACTTAAATTAGGAACGTTTGGTCCCTTAATATATAAACACACTATATTCATGGAAAACTCAATTTCGTTGTTTTCTTTTTTCGACTTGTCAGGTGGTTGGTGATTAAGATAGAAGTCAGGCTTTTCGCTTGGATTTAAGAGTGCCTTTTGAGCGCGATATGCCATCAATTCAACATCCTTTGGATTATGCAAAGCCTTGCAAAACGGATAAGATTTCCTATCTGCTTCTGAAAGCGGTTTATTGTTTTTATCGTATTCTATACGCAAGGAAAGGCTGCACTCCCAACTAGTAGTTTTTGATGTCTCGTGCATACGAATTTCCATTACACATCGAGTGCACGTTTCATGCGATCTTGGAAGCTAAGAGAAAATATTACATATATGTATATACGCAGTATTAATAATAAAGCGGCGAGGTAATCTAAGAGTAGTTTTTGTAACAATGCATGATAACAATGTATGTCTATAAAATTTTGTAAGTTACCTGAACATTAGCAATTGCTTCCAATAAACTGCTCTTGCCAGCCGATTGGTTTCCACAAAATACAACCTTCGGGAGTTCAACAAAGTCCTTGGCGTATTTCTCTTCCATACGACTAACAAGTTGAATATACCTTGCTGTTTGTTCGGTATACGTTTTATCCATAAGTCTTATAGAATCGTCATTTTCATTGTTGTAGTATCCGCTAATATGAGATTGGGTGAGTTTTGTCGCAGTCATGGTAAGCATGTAAGTGTTTCCGGTAATGTCAAGACCGAGTGAATTCCCTATGAGACTTGACAGTTTTTTATACCTACGGTATCAACGGCTGCTTTTTTTTGTTTACTTTCTGGCGTACAAACGATACCCAAGACATACCATGTTTCCAATTAGACTCGATTTTCATCTTGTACGGAACGTTGATGGTTTAACCCCAAATTAGAGTATAATGGTGATGATAAAAATAGTCCCACCCTAAAAGATGAACTAATGTCAAACTGTAACGAATCTAGCTGATAAAGGTATAGTTGAGAGTTTGTTTGCAGCAAAACAAGAGTTGTACCTGCGAACAATCCTATTAGTAGTTCCATTCTTTTTAGTATTTATACGAGAATTAATACTTCGATGTTAAACAGTGATGGTGTGCATACTAATACACTGGACGTTAACAAATCGTTGATTAAAACAACATTTGAGTATGGAATCTTCTACATAGATAATAATTGATCTGATTCTCACGGGATTATTTAAGTTAGAGTTTGCATTTATCTTATTATTGTTCAATGTCGACATAACTTCATCATTATTGTCACATGTTCGAACATGTCATATTGTTGACAATGATAACAACAACAACAACAAAACAATAGAGTAATTCGAAGACAACTGTTTATTCCGTGTAACTCTATCGAACAACAAAGTGTATAATGATGATAGCCCAAAGTTGAATGTAGCTTACTATTACCCGTTATTGACTTTACAATAACTGTATATCTTACTACTAAAGGATTGGCATTCGAATAAAAGCGGTTTGTTGGGATCTCTTCAATTATATATATAGAAGACAAACTTTATATTTCTGCTGTTCGTTGCAGACCTCTGATTGTGAATAGCTTATGCTCGAAAAGATAATCGTTGAGCGATACCAATAGTCCCAGACACTTGTCAGAAATCAAGCTAACTTTGGATGCCATAACAATTGTTTTACATGTGTGTGCATCAATATAGGCTACCACGAATGGTGTGTGCGTTTACTCTGCATATCTTCTTTTTAGAAATAAGTCAAAAGACTTGTTGCTTTAGTTTTAATGAGAAATTAATCACGTGCGCAGTATTTCGAGTTTACTGTGCAATATCACGATTATTCGCATAACAAATTAATCGATCTTGTACATAAATAAATTGCTCTTATCAACTAAATTAAATAATATTTATTATTGCCTCGTACGCTTGCAGATACGATAGATATTTTTTATATTTACATGTAAAATTTAGTACTATATTAGGGTATTCCACATACACTGTACTATCAATCAGTTTTACCATCATGCCATTAATTATTTACTTACAAATTGCTCTCTTACTCTTGCCTTGACGCATATTGTCTATCGAATTTTTCTCTTTTACCATCATTTTTTTTTTCTTCTATTTATTATTCCCTCTCTCATATTAATCTTTTAGTCTGAAAAAGACATACTGCACATTATTACCATCAACTCTCTGTCATACATCGAGCCTATATCTTGAACAATGTTTGTATTTTATTTCCTTAATCTCCTTCTCTTGCTTTGTTCATAATGCCCAATATACCTAATTTATCATATGACGACTAATCTATGAAAAATGGTGCATTCCAATTGCTATGGTTTATACAAAGTGTCCATTGCCAGTTTAACGTTGTACAATATCAGTCGGCTATTCTGAGGAATCTTCACTGTACGCATATCTCAAACCTAACTTTTGGACCACTTACTTTATCAGTCGCCTAAATGTGATATTTGCGTTTATTTAGAATACCGTAAACTGCCATGAATAAGGGCCCACCTTCATCATATAAGGGGGCTCTTATTCATGGCATGTTTGGTTGCGCC